TTTTTTTTTTTTTTTTTTTGCATAACTTTGTAGCATCTTAGGCAGGCTGTGTTTGTATTTGTGTAGAATGACCATATTGAATAAACCAATAGGGTTAAGATTAAAGAATATTAATTAGTTCCTTCCCTGTAGACTATTGGCCTCACCTGTACATTGTGTACAGAGGAAGCAACTAGAACAGCTCCTTTTTTTTTTTTTTTTTTTTTTTTTTAAAGTTAAGATAAAATCTTTTCCCCTTAATCCTGGAAATGGTGAGCTTCATCTTACTGCCAGTGGCCGCTGGCTGATCAAGAGGAACAGTAAGGGAATTAATTTGAGCTAGAGAACAGTGATTGTGGCATGAGGCTAGGGCATGCACACAGTAAAAATAAAGCAAGTGCGGTTTGAACTGCATTTTTCTTCCCTTTTACTCCCCTGCTGCTTCAGCTACAGTTTGGAAGGCTTGATCAGAGATTCCTCCTAGCATAGTTGTACCAGAGGGCATGTCACATGGGTACTAGTTTCAAAGGAGGCTGATGCCACTCCTGAATTTCTGCTACTATGGGTCAGAGTCTGTAGTGAGACCCATACTCTTCTCAGTCAATGAAGGAATCACTTGGAATTCTAATCTCTTCCCTTGCTCTTGAAAATAACTTATCACAACCCTTTGCATCCTGCCAAGACAGCAGTGAGAGACAGCCAGCGGGGCAGTATTGGAGGGCTTTTTGTGGCTAAAGATCAACAGAGCTGACAAGCCAATGACATTCAGTAAAAACCTAAATTTGCAAAAAAATAAGCAAAAAAAAAAAATATATATGGTGGACAGTCTCGTTCTGTATGTTGTCACATCCCACTAACTGCCCTAGGCAAATGTGGGAGGGAGTCAAATACACCTGATGCTGAGTGCCAGCCTGCTCCAAGGTGCTGCATTAAGAGGCACAGTGGTGTGGAACAGGAGCCCAGGAAGAAGAGCAGTGTAAAGAGGCAGGAACAGGCAACAAAATATTTCCTTTGCAGTTACGAGATGGAAATCCAAGAACTCCCTGCAGCCCTGACCAAGTGACAACAGGTGTAAGCGTGCAGCTGCCAGTCCAGATCACAAGGTAGACATGTGATGTAGCCCAGCTAATACAACCCATGTGCATAAGGCATGTACACATACAGCCTCTGGCCAGAACATGTTGGGCCATTGGTATTGCCCCCTGCAGCAGAGTTGCTTGCTAGGGATAAAGAAATCCCAGGGGCCCATTCTGGGCTAGTCTGCATGTTGCTTATTACACCTTTGCCTTTTCCAGTCCTGGGCCCAAGATCAGCCCCTCCCACCCCCAGCCCACGTGCTGTGACATGCCTTGAATGAGCCTCCTAGTAGCGCTGCTGTAAGCTCTCAGGACTTGGCTTTGGTTGGGAGACACCACAGGGTAGGAGTGGGGTGGGGGAGACCCCCAGGTGGGGTGAATAGTGAGTGTGTGGAGGCAGTGCGGGGTTTACAATGTTGCCATGAAGCCAGGCCCATGGTCAGAAGGGGTCCCAGCCTGCTGTGCTTGCACTGTGCCCCGAGATCCCGCTGGCTCTTCTCTCCCCCCCGCCCTTGCTCCTCTCCGTCTGCCTGCCGAAGGCTCCTCTTCACCCCCTGGCTTCTCTCTGCCCCCCTGGCCAGAGCCCAGTGCACCGTCGGCTCCAGGCACTCTGCTTCCCATCGCCTGTGGGGCCCCACCTGTCTCCCTGGAGCTGAGCTGCCTGGGATGGTCCAGAATCCTGGCCAGTCGGGGGGGGGGGGGGTGTGGCGAGAGACAGTGTGGAGGGCTTGACTGGGCCCCTCCAGGCAAGTGGGTCCTGAGGGAGCCTGGCTGGGGCAGGCCCTGGCCTGGCTGATTGCACCACTCCTGAGGAGCCGGAGCGATTCCCTGCCCTGGGACCAGCCCTGCCTGCACTGGCAGCTCAGCTTGGCAGACAGTTGCCTCTCAGCAGGGCTGGTGAGTGCGGCTGGGAGGCAGGGTGTGAGGGAGTTGGTGTCTGGAGGGCTGGGGTGGGGGTTGGGGCACTAGAGAGTGGGGGTTCTGTGTGGGGTGCTGGGCAGTTGTGGTGGGGCTGTGGGCAGGGGTGGTGGTGGGCAGGGTACTGTGCATTTGTGGCAGAGTCTTGGGGGGGGGGGGGCGGGGCCGGGGGGGGGGGGGGGGGGCCCTCTGGCCATAGGGAATTGGAGGGCTGTTCCAGTGTTGGGTGGGGGGGCCTCTGTGGTGTGGCATAGGCCCGCCCCTGAGGGGAAGGGGCATGTTGGCAGCACAGGGCTAGGTGAGCCACTGTGCATCTGGTAACTGCTGGTTTGTAAATAGTGCCCTTGCAGCGGGCTGGGCGGAGTGGGGCTGCCTCTGCCGTGTCCCTGGCCAGCAGCTCACTCCAGGGACTGACCTCCCTGTGCCATGCTGCATTGTCCCCATGGGGGGCCACAAATATGTTTGGCGCTGGGGCCACAAAAGGTTAATCTAGCCCTGCCTGGAGTGGGGACACCTACAGCCCCGGTGGCTGGGAAGAGCAAACGCTCCCCGTCACGTGTTACAGTCTCTTTAAGACGGGGCATTTCAACCATTGCCTTCAGCGCTGGCTCAGTAGATTCGACAGGCCTGGACCGGGAGTGGGGTGTGTGGCGAATCTTAAGCTGGGTGACAGAGCGAGAAGGTGTCGGCGGGAAAAGCGCGCGGGCCGGAGGGGTGAGTCTGTAAAGGGGTTCCGGGTGGGAGACACATCGCGGCGCCCCGGCCCCACTCGAGCCTCGCGCTGGGCCGGGGGTCCTGCTGGCCCCGTTCCTGCCCCTGCCCTCCGCGAGACCGAGGGGGGCTGTGGGCTGCTGCGGACCCCGGCCGGCGCCACTGGAGAGCGGGGCAGGCGGGCTGCGAGCGCCTGGGACCGGGACCGGGACCGCCCCTCACGGTGTGCACGCAGCACCTAGAGTTGTGGGCCCAGTGTGTGTGCCTGTGTGTGTGCAGCGCTTAACGCCGGTGCCCCCTCCCCCCCTGTGTGTGTGCGTGCGCGCGCACAGCATCTAGCGTTGCGGGCACCGTGTGTGTGTGTGTGCGCGCAGCACCTAGCGCGGCAGGCCCCATGTCCATGTGTGTGCCTCAGTGTGAGCTGTGCCTGGTGCCGTGTGTGTCCCTGTGTGCAGCACCTAGAGTGCTATGGGTCCTGTGTGTGTGTGGCCCTGTGTGCGTGCAGCGCTTAGTACTGTGGGCCCCGTGTGTGTGCAGTGGTGGGCCTGTATGTATGCGTGTGCAATGACACAGGCCCTGTGTGTGTGTGTGTGCACGTGCACGGTATCTGCACCCTGAGGATGTGTGTCGGGGCAGGAAAAGAGGAGTTCCTTGTTCTTTGAGGTTGTGTGTGTGTGTAAAGCCTTAGCAGATTAGGGCCCAGTGTGTGTGTGCACAGCACCTAGCACCCTGAGACCATATGTGTGCATGCACTGTGCCTAATGTTCTGAGGCCCTGTGTGTGTGTGTGTGTGTGTACAACCACCTAGCTCCACAGGACCCTGATCTCAGTCAGCTCCTGTGTAAACAACACTTAGCACCCTGAGGCTCCATATGTGTGTACAGCACCTAGTGCCATTGGGCTCTGATCCCAGTCAAATCATGAGCCCTGGTACATGACGGGGGATCTTAAGTAGAGCCCTGTGCGGATACATGTGCATCCGATCCGCATAAATGGTTTGTGGATATTGAATTTGCAGGGCTCTTCTCTGAAGTGCTACTGCAATACAAATAAATTATAATAATAATTAACTAATAATTCTCCAGTGCTGAGCAGAGGCCTGCAGGCCTGCCAATTTATGTGGGAGTTTTGTGATGTGGGGAAACACCCACTAGTGGCTGGGCTGAGACTACCAGACTCATCTTGTCTGCAGGCTAAACAGAGTGCCCTTTCAGAAGGATCGCAGTAGCCAGGTGTCTGGGCACCATCATTCTCTGTTTCATTTTCCCCTTTGTTTGATCAGTTCCAGAAGTGACTTTACCAAATGGATCCCGAGCCCTTTGAAGTCGGACGTGCGGTACGAGAAGCTATCAACATCCTTTCCTCTTCCAGGAATGGAGT